AATATATTACTTGGTCCTGGATGGTCTTGTTCTATTTTTAATCATTGAAAGTACCGACTACTCACAAGTGAGTAGTATCTCACAACACTAACAGCTAAGTGTCTCCTGTACGCGGATGACTTCAAGATTTGGCGCAGTATCAGAAACGAGGAGGACAGAGTAATCCTCCAACATAACCTAGATGCGTTCGGACGATGGGGAATCGAAAATGGTCTCCCCTTAAACCAGTTAAAGTGACATGTAATACACGTTAGGGAAGAAACCGACGGCAGATACTACCTTAACTCGGTGCCATTAACGGTAGTTAAACAGGAAACAAATCTAGGGTCGGTTCTGTCGGATCTTCCAAACTTCTCACAAAACTGCGCTAAGCTAGTAAAACGAGGCAGCCTAGTTCAGACCCTAATAAATCAAAACCTGGAAAGACTGGAGCCCGAATGCTTCAGAATGTCATACAGAATCCACGAGAGACTCCACCTTGAATATAAGGGTACCCCCAACCTTAGTACGAGACGTTGAAGCACTGGAAGCGGTTCAGAGAAGAGACACCAAACGAGTCATCAGGCTATCGCAACTAAGCTTCGGAGATAGACTTAAGCGACTCAACCTCTTTACCCTTTCCTACAGGAGGCTGAGAGGGGACTTAAAATTGATACAAAAAACAGTATCAACGCAGAGTCACCCAAACAGCAAACTGATAGCACTATCACCGCACCAACAACTGCAAGGACACTCTAAGACCATCTTGCATTAGCAGAGTGTTACTGACAGTAGACGGTTACATTTCTCCATCCGGGACAAATCTGCTTGGAACTCATTACCCGAGGAAGTTATCTCTGCGCCTACGACAGCTTGCTTCAAGCAAAGACTAGATGAATTCGCCGTGGGCATCACCTCGGCAGTGGACAGCAAACTTGAGTACCCTCAAAGTAATGTCAGGTGGATCTCTGGACTGTCCACACAGCACACCTCGTAAGGCATGCAATTCGGTTTAGCTAACTGACTACGGGTAACTAACCTGCTACACCGTGAAGAAGTAACCTACTAACCTCTTTTTTGCTTACACGTTCAGATTACAAGAATAACAGAATCCAAACCAGAAATTTCCGAATATCAGACTTCACCGGATAGATCAAGAAACAGGCAGAGCCACAAGCCAACGAGCTCTCTCCGCCTGTAAACTGGACACTGGACATTCTGTACTCATGCCTCCGTAACGTCGGCGCAATTTACCTTGAGATGGGGAAAGAGCACAGCCATGCTGGAACCGGATACTAGTGTGGTCACTTCCGCCTAGCGGTGCACCCATAGCAGTGTTCCCGATGTCACTCCTGCTTTTGGTAACCACAAGAGCCAAGGTGCTCGACGATTTACCCAGTTGCCGTCTGGTGGGATTGGTGACGTGCTGGGTGAGCGCCAATTCGTGCATCACCTATAGTAGCTCATCCCGAAAGCTACCCACTGGCACATACTTTACCTCCCATTCGATCTCAGGTGGATTGAAAGCCACCAGGACAAGAACCCTATTTGCCCGAGTAGTTGTGTGCCGGAGAAAATCTATCAGTAACTGACTTTCGTCGATGCCTGCGCTTGGGCTACGATAGACACGTAGGACTGCTAATCTTACTCCTGTGAGCTTGATTACGCATCCGGCAGCCTGAAAGTTCTCCGTGCACAGGGCATCCAAGGCCGTTAGGAAAGTGGTCCGCCATAAGCCGTAGAGCACTCCCCGATTTGTTCATTGGGCTGCAAACGTTAGTGTAGTAAAAACTGAGAGCCTGCACTCTTTCACCCCTATTGCTTTTGAGGGGTTGCACTCGGGAGTTGCTCCAGGGTGACCCCCAAGATTTTATCTTTCCCTGGTGGCGGGTGACACTGGATTGTCTTGCTATTTCCATACTTGTTTCCGGCTTCCGGCATGCTAAGCCCGATTGCCAATTTGATAATGTTTGCCTTAGGTTTAGACTTTACCCCTATGCTTAGGGGTGCCACTGACGTGGTAGGATGGTCACCACACTCAGGCTTCCCCACTAATATCCATTTCTCGTCATTATCTATTCTAGGGGCTTTAGTTATAGACTGGTTTCCTTTCCCAGGTAACGTAGTCCTTAGCTCGGGATTAGTTTTGTTCATCTGACTACCTGGAGTGGAGGTACACGGAGGTGCTGGTGCTGCCAGTTGTGAAGGGCAGTTCTCTTTCGATGGCAGTAGTGCCACCCTGGATATTCCCATAGAGCTGGTGCAGTTAGGACAACCCCATTTCAGAAACTTGTGGACAGCATACCGTTCAACTGCCTTGGACGTTAGTTTGCTTCATCGTTGGTGGAACCAGTCCTGGCACAGATCACAACGTATGCCCTCAACAACCTCGGGAGAACACCCTTTTCTGGGGTAGGGTGTAATGACATGATTGGCTGGTGTACCCACTTTAGGAGCATTTCTCTGAGCTACCATGTCACTTATCTAGATACGTTTCAAGACTATGTCCGGTAAAACGGGTGTGTGCAATTGAAAACTTTATGAAAAAGCGATAATAACCAAGGATCAGTAACTCTGGGTAGCACTCATGGAAGCAAACGTTGTAGCCTAGTCGCTCACCTGGAAGTAAATTCTTTACGTTGGTTCTGTCATCCGGGTTTTGTTCAGCTGTGACTTCCAGATGCAGATTTGCGATCTCCAGCGCAAACTGTATAAACTGCGCCTCAACTAACAAGCGTTGGCTCCGCTTAATGTCGACCCAATACTATTGCAAAACGTTGAACACCAAAAGTCGCACCGTGGGCCAGGTTTAAAGGTAAGCTCATTACAAAGACGTTGACGGCGGAGTTATGTCCAGTTTCTTGCAGAAGTGGGCTCCAGGGTTCCCCCGATGTTGCAATAGATGGAGCGTTGCAATCATGAACCCAAGCAGTGATTGGTAAATATAAGGGAGGAGCCAGGAGAAAGCCCAAAAACTATAGGCCAGTTAGTCTACCATATGTTTTATGTAAATACCCAGAACCTGCCGTGAGACGATAATTATGCCAGCATCTTGCGGTACAGCATAATAAAACCCGCGCCGCATGGATTTATGACAGGCAAGTCATGTCTGACAAATCTGCAGCTGTTCCCAGAAGTTGCGACCAGGAAACTCGACAAAGGCCTCAATGTAGAAATCTGTTACATGGACTTCCGTAAGACTATCGATTCGGTAAATCACAGAACCAGAAGATGCAAACCCTAGGCGTAACAGGGAGAGCCGGGACCCGTTTCAATAACGTTTTCGGGAAGAATAAACTTCAGGGAGTAAGCGCGTAGCATTTGAAAGCGGTATTAATAAAGGAAGTTTGAAGTCGATTGATCAATCCCCATCATCCAAGCAATAGAAAAACGCCACCTGAGACATCTGTCGCAAAACATTATTTGCTCATTGAATACCTACAAATTAACGCCAGATTCCCTGAGGCAGCCGACAACCGAAATAAATTAAACGGAAATTTATTTACCATGACAAATAGAATCATTATTGATTATTAAAAATGATTTACTTCTCAGTAACGAAATGGACCCAATTTCCATCAATAAAAACTGCACCTTGCATATAACTCTGAAGGCCATTCTTGATACTATTCTG